CTTCACTGGGAATAAAGGTTGTAGATCGAAGTTGTAGCAGCTAGAATTAAGGATGCGATCAGTCGGAACTAAATTTACGTACTAGCACTAGTGGGGGCACAGTTCAGGGAAGAGGAACTTGGCCTTGCTACACGTGTTACTTGATTGCAACCTCGGCCGATACCGAAAAACTGTGTACTGAAAGTCCAAAAGTTATTTTCCCCTGTGCTGATGCTGTGATTTACAGCAAGAACCTGTTGTGTTTGATTACGATGAAATGGCCGAGCTACTAAAGCCTCTTTCGGAATGTTATCCGGTTTATCAGTTTATTGATGGGATTTCGCCATATGTCCCGGTAATTACAAGGAAAATTGATCCTGAATATGAGACTCGAATTGAAAAGCTAAGAAGAGAGCAGGTATGTTCGAGTTAATAAAAGTAATATAATGAGGAAGTTACTTGGAAGAAAGAATGGAACGAAGAATAAAGAGGATTGTAATCGTAGTTGATATCATTTATACCCATATCAGCATTACATCAGTCGTACTGATGAGATGCAGTTGTGGTGCTGGATAGGAATGTATACGGCTTAATGGTCCGAAACATTCCGTTTCGACCATCATACTGACGAGGTCCTGTCGTGAGGTGTTGAGTTAAGGCGTATATAACTTAATGGACCGAAACGCCTTATCTCACTCTTATCCCCTTCTCTCATAGTATTTTCTCATGCTGTAATCGGTCGCGCCTTTGCCATCCAGGCTTCCAGGGTCAACCTGATTGCTGCAATCGGTTTATAATTTTCTTAGATATATTTTTATGTATCATCAATATTTTTGTGTGATAGTATCATAAGCTTACTAAACTATATAAGAGTGTCATATTTTTGCAGCAACTTGAAGCTGAAAGAAGCTAAAAGCGGTTGAAAAAAATTAGATTTAGAATAATCTTTTGGTCCAAAAGACCACTGAGTTGGTAATCCCTTCAGGAAATAAAACGGGTGCTAGGATCACCATCATGACGATGATTAGTGACCATTATCAAAGCACTGGGGAAGTAACCGGCCGTATAGTTGTACGCATACATGCTTCTGGAAGCCATAGTATATGAGACACTGCATGTTATCCGTTATACTACTATAAATCATGCAGTAATAAAATTAATAAGACTAGTACTTCCAATTGTAAAGACGGAACTTTTGCCTTGCCTTCTCACTCTCCAATCGAAATTATAAAACACGAAAAAATAAAATGAAAATTGGATCATCTTTCGGTGACTTTCCAGCTGAACGTCGGAAAGCGAAGTTCCCATCGGAGATCGGATTTCCGACGGGGATCATCTGACTCTCCGTTCCCAAACCACCTTTTTCCCCGCCAACTTTCTCATCATAGATCGAATCTAGCAGTGTTTGTTTTCCTCACAAAATGGGAGATGTAAATGCCAAAGCTTCGTGTTTACGCAGTCTCTCGTAGTTATAACGTTATTTGTGTTTGCAATAATTATGCTAAGAGTGCAGTGACCTCCCGGGCAATCACTGTAGAAGTCCCATTTTAGTTATGTTACTGGAATATTCTCATGCAGCGCAGCTATGCCAGGTCCTTCATTCCTAAGCTGTTTTCATCGAGTTAATATCCGCC